GAGCTGTAGGTGTGGTGAATGTGGGATGAGTTAATTATATTATATTATAATTAAATATTTAATAATAAATTAATTTATTTCATAAATAAAAATTCAAAAATTTTTAATAAAAATCTGATTTTGGAAATTTCAAATTTGTTTTCTTATTTCTGAAATAGGCTAAACTTATTCTATTGAATATGTAATCTTCCCTAATCGGAATATCAGGCCCATCCACGGTCGAGATAAAAATGAACACTATAAATTAGACTCGGCAGTCCAATGAAAAATGCAGGAACGAGGACGTTAGACATACCGTGTTAACATTACTGTAATGATCGTACAGTAGAAGCTGTTCATCTTTGGAGAAATAATGCACACATTTTTGTGCCTTAAATTTCCAATAAACTCTATTTGTTGTCTAAAACCTTTTTTCTGAAGTGTTCACTACTTTTAATCTCAATTTTCATTCCGTTTCGCATTGCTGCAATATATGCATTTCCAAATATTCCTTTCCCCAGAAACACAGCAGAAGATCTCAACGTATTCTCAAGCTCAAAACCAGGATTATAAAACTCTTTAAAAGTACCACCCGGAAGCCAATTTCGCAACAGATTCTACTCTACTCTTGGATCTAGCAAGCACAGAGTGGAGAACTCGAAATGAAATCTGACGATGATTTTGAGCTGGTGCTTGGGCTGCGTTATTGGTCATGAAAGATTTGCCAAAGCTGTTCTCTCTGGGGCACCACTTCCGCCTCTCTCCCAATTGTCGACATGTTTCTTTCAAATTTAGCTCTGAAAATCTTGGATGGTCTTCTTGAAGATGATCAAAGTCAAAGTTGAGTGATTGATACTTGCATTTTCTTCAAAACTCGTGGTCCCATAATCACAACGTTTGGCTAGAAGAGCATGCTTGGCTAAGAATTAGACTTGAAAGATTTTCTGTAACATTATTTTGTACTTAATGTGACATGGTAAAATGAGATTACTTTCGTATAATGTTGATTGAACAAGCTCAAAGACATGGAAATGATGGACATGCCGACTTGGCCGCACCTGTTTTGGCATTTTTTTTTGAAAAATTGTTCAATCATGTGTCGACACAAGTCCTCCTGTTTTTGAGCCCGTTTGTGTAGCATGATTTGATTACTGTCAATAATTTCAGGAGCTTTCCTTTATGAAATAGGATAAAAAAGTAAATACCTATGCAATGAATTTTAACCTAGTTCATATCACACATTTCATATACTAAAACATGTTAGCTTTCCAATAAGACTTACTATTTTCTTCTTGATTTTAGTGTGGTCGCGATCTATTCACAAAAATTGTATACACATTACGCTTTTGATGGAATGTAAAGGGACCAGTTGGTACATAAAATAAATAATTTATAAATATTTAACAGTTTAAATTTTTAGATAAAGTCATTCAATAGAATTAAAATAAAAAAGGTTTCCATTTGTTGGCATAGAAGAAATGGACATTTTAGTTACGGCAAAGAATCCAATAGTTTAACTCATGCATGGTGCTGGGAACTGGAAGTAAACATCACAAAAATTTATTTGATGGCCATTATTTAAAAATAAAATAAAATGTTTCGAACAATAATTTTTTGAAAAATATGGTGTTAAAAGGTAGCGAAATTGTTTTTGGATTTTTGTAAAATATTTTATTGTGTGAATGTATGGTTGGAATGAGTTTGAGAATTACATTCTAACGTAGGGTTTGATTATTTTGTGTATTTAACCGAAATATAATATATTTTTTTCTAAATAATCGAAATAGGTGTTTACATGTTTTATCCTTGAAGCGTGCGATCAAAAATCACTTGTAGCGTTCTTACTTCGTGCTCTCTTGATCCTACCTTCATACCTTCAAAGTCTTCTTCAATGACAGTCGGGAATCAAATTCTGCGGGGGCCTAATTTTACTATTAAAACTTTTGAAACACAAAATATAATTTTATTAAAATAAACAAATAGTAAAATAATAAGAAAGCAATATAGAAATATATTTTCTCAAATTTTAATGGGGGCCACAAACCCACTGGATTTATTGTGTTTAGTCACAAAAGCAAAAACCATAATTGTAATTAATAAATTAACTTGAGCACGTGGGGCTTAGTGTGCATCACCACGTGGCACAGGGTCTTGCCATGTGTTCAGTGCACGAGGTAGCAAGCTTCGCATATCCTAGTCCAAATCAATTTGATCATTCCCACTACAATCATTAATAATATACGTCTGTTGCTTAAAAGTGTGTTTGTGACACATTCTTTCGAAAGAATATATTATTTAATAGTATATCGATGGAGAATGTGTGGTCAAAAATAAAGGAAAAATTATTGATGTGATGAAAAATATTATTTTATTGAAGAATGTGCGGTTGAAAATGAGTAGAAGAATGAGAATGAAAAAAATAATGTCTACCAAATGGGGCCTTAATTTAGAATATTTCGTTGTATTCCTTTATTAATATACCTTTATTAAATTTTCTCCACTTAATATGCGAATTTCTTGAAATTATCAAAATACACTCATTTCTCACTTTTTGGAAACATGGAACAACTCTCATTATTTCTTCTTCTTCTTTTGAAAAAAATATTTCAAGTTATGGTTCCAATGTTTCTCATCAAATTACATCATTCAAATTCTTTCAAACAATAATTTAGTTTTACATACTGAAAGTTAAATAAGGGTAAATTAGGAAAGATTTTGGTAAAAATTAGTTTTCCAATAATATTAAAAACTTTCTTAATTCATGTGAAAAACGAAACAAGTCTATATAATTGGGACGGAGGGAGTATAACTTATATAGTCCATCCCAATTCTTATGTTGAAGCATTGAAAGGGATTCAGTCGGACCTAATTAAACTGAACTTCATAAGTTTTTTTACTCTTGATCGATCCGTAAATTCATTAACTACACTCACAATCTAATTAAAATTGCTAAAACAATATAATCGGTAATTATATCATCTGATTTATCGTTCTTACGTATTATATATCCCATTGGCTGTTTCAAATATTCAAAACAAGGTGAGATAACCAAAACGCCATTTTTCAAATATACATACACCCTCGAGTCTCATGTTATATCCGACAATTTCACGTGATCATATCACAATATTAATTCAACAATCAATATCGAATTCAATTGTCCACTAGAAAATTCTTTAAAATCATTATAATGCCTATTAAATAGGTGACATGTTCTATATTGATAATATATGTACCCACATAGGATTAAAATCTTATCTACTGCA